AAAGGCTTGTTTTTGCCAATTGGAGTGCCTTGCAGACTGTGCACTTTTGTGAATAAAGTTCGACGAGTTATATAGGTTTCTGTGAATTGTACAATATGCCTGGAAACACACCGTGTAATATAAAGGTATATGCAGATGTGGAATAATAATTCACCACTGTCATGACTAACAAAACTGTCTTTCAAATGTCCTTTGTTGAGAGCAGATAAAGCAGAGGAATAAGGGTTATCGCAAAAATATTTGCTTTGTCATTAGTGACAATGGTGCAGTATGTTCATCTTATGCCCCTACATCACTGCCAATATAGTTCTTCAAACCATATTACAGACAAATGGTATTAATACATATTCTGACGTATTGTACTTGTTTCTCTTGCTCATGCACGATTGTGAAAATTGTTCACCTATCTTAGACCCCTTTCCTCAAAATGAATTTGTGTAAAGTAGTGCATTTTCATTTAACCAGGAGAGAGAACACGATGCGTTAAGACAACATGAGACGTTTGATTTATCCGCAAGCATGTCCGAAGTTAAATCATAATTTTTATTTCAAAATCATATAAATTTGTTATACATGAGAATCATAATCAAGTATTACACCAAATGTTAATGTAATGATGTATCTTAATTTCATTGATACAACGTAATATAAATGGAAAAAAACAGTTTCATTTAGTTGAATATAGAATGAAGATGGTAGCAGTGCTGTGCAGTATTAGATGTTTAAATACCATGGATTTCCCACCCCCCTCAAATATACAGTACATGCATTTACATTTTAATGTCAGTACAATGTGTAGTGAGGCAGCTTCGACTGCTGTCCAGCAGCAGCAACTGCGGTGGACAGTTAGCACACACACCGTCGAGCGTATACACGGGTGTGCCGGCAAGGTGGAGGAACTGGGGCAAGGGTTATGGAAGACCTCATCGGGAAGCCCCTGGAACGCGCTAGTGGGTTCGAGAAGGGAGGCGCGGCCAGGGCGGAGCCAGGCCCTGCCGAGTAGAATAAAAGCAGCAGAGAGCGAGAGCTCCGGGCTGCCAGTTCTGGGAGTGGAATCGTCTGGCCGTTGCTGTCGTCTTCGCCGCCTTCGTCGCTGCCGCCTTCACTCGATAATTGCGCTGCTGGACAGTTGTTGGCTGTCTCGGTTGATGCCATTGGTGCAAGAGGTTAGGGTTGTGTCTAGGCTGGGCTGTATGGCAACGTGATCGAGAGAGGAGGCGATCCTGTGTGTGAACGGCCAGAAAGGTGTTACAATAGAAAGGTGTTACAATAAAAGAACGTGCCTCCTGCAACTACCTCGTCTCTGCATCTGGCGTCAGAAATGGGGTTCCAAAGTGGCCCCAAAGAGGCCCCGAAGAGGAACCCACCTATAGTGTCATTGGGACGAGGACGGTGAGGCGGTCATCCCTCCTACAGCCTTGGGACCCCGGTTACGAAGCCCGTTGGTTGCGGAGCAGCGGGAGAGCCGCCGCCAATTGGCGTGACAGTCACTGCGCATCGACGGGGAGAGCGGCTATGCATGTGGGGAGAGCGGCGATACATTTGCAGGGACAGTGGCTATGCATCTGCGGGAAAGCGGCTACGCATTTGCGGGAGAGTGGCTATGCATCTGCGGGAGAGCAGCTACGCACCTGTGGGGAGAGCAGCGCGATTTTCCGCAGTTGCGCGCCGACCATGTGGTATGGCGGAGGACCGCCGTGTCGAGAGGAGTGCGGGACACCACGGAGGGCGCACCCCAGGCGACGGCGTGGACAGGAGTCACGTAGAAACCCCGGCTGGAGCTTCCATTGGAGTGGGAGCGGGGGAGCCCAGACAGGAGACCGTGCACATGGTGGGCGCCATTTTGCCCTTGGAGGACCTACCATAGCCAGCGGGCACCATTTTGAGGCGAGCGCGTGAACGCATGGAGAAGGCACGAAGGTTGGTGGCACTGCAAGGAGCCGCTCTTGACCTGCCACGGGAGGTTCGCACAAGATTCCTCCAGAGAGAGTAAGGGGAGGCCGAGACACCTTACGCCATCCGGGTGGCGCTGCTGGTGCTGGGACGGGAGGTATACCCGTACTTGGGTGAGGGGGCGCTCGACTTTTGGGTGGCAGAAAGGCTGAGGGAGCTGGCGTGGGAGTTGAGGATCACCCTGCCCTCCGCTGCTGGCGCAGAGATGTCCATAATGGTGGTCCGAAAATTACAAGCTGACGAGGAACACCAGCATCGGTCAAGGATGGAGGCTGGGGCATGGTGGATGGAGGACATGATGGTGGTGTTGGGCGGCCGGGGGAAGCATGCAAGAGGATCCCTGCGGGTGGACTGGTGGCGGGGGCAGTTCCTCGGCCAAGTGTTTCATGTGTGGCCGGTCGGGCCACATCGCTATAGAGTGTCGGAGTGTCATAGACGCCCTCCGACCCGCCGGCATCGTCTTCCCAATTCCCACCGGACCGGGTCTCTGAGGTCTTTCGAGACCGCCATGTGCGAGGTCTCGGGGACTGGATCTGGACAGGTGTGACAGACCTCCTTCATCTCTCCACAACCCTCGGAGTCCCGGAAGTGCAAGACCCTGCTGAGACGGGGGTGACTGGTGCTAGCGACCGGATCACGCGAGCTATGTCCCGGTAATGGCAGACTCTCCCTTGCACGGTGGGATCCAGGGGAGAGGAGGTGTTGGGAGTAAGGGCCTGTGTAAGGGATTGTGTTGGGTGTGTTTCCGGTTCACGGGGGGGGGGGGGGCGCCGGGTTGTGTGAGTGTGTTGTCGGTTCGCGGGGGGCGCCGCGTTATGTGGGTGTGTTGTCGGTTCGCGGAAACGGTGCCGCGTTGTGTGTGTGTGCTGTTGGTTCGCGGGGGGGTGCCGCATTGTGTGTGTGCTGTTGGTTCGCGGGGGGCACCACGGTTCTGTCGCAACTGTAAAATGTTTTTCTCCTCTTTTTCTTCATGTTCGGTTGGGTCGGTGTGAGGGGTGTTCATCTGTATTAGGGATTGCTCTGCCTCTCCACCGGTTGCGGCTGCTGTATTGGCAGCCGGGACGACTGTTTTTTTTTAAACGGAGGGGGGTGATGTAGTGACACAGCGCCGACTGCTGTCCAACAGCGGCAACTGCGGTGGACAGCCGTCGAGCGTATACACGGGTGTGCCCGCAGGGCAGAGGAACTGGGGCAAGGGTCATTGAAGACCTCATCGGGAAGCCCCAGGAACCCGCTAGTGTGTTCAAGAAGGAAGGCGCAGCCAGGGCGGAGCCAGGCCACGCCGAGTAGAATACAAGCAGCAGAGAGCGAGAGCTCCGGGCCGCCGGTTCTGGGAGTGGACTCATCTCGTCGTCACTGTCGTCTTCACTCGATAATTGCACGGCCGGACAGTTGTTGGCTGTCTCGGTTGACGCCGTCGGTGCAACGCGGTTCGGGTTGTGTCTAGGCCGGGCTGTAAGGCAGTGTGAGCGAGAGAGGCGGCGATCATGTGTGTGAACGGCCGGAAAGGTGTAACAATAAAAGAAGGTGCCTCCTGCAACCACCTCATCTTCGACTTGTGCTACAATACACATGTAACACTATAGCATGCGTATATTGTACACATGTACATACCTTTTGTCAATGCACTTCTCTGGGTCGTGGAGGTTATATTATTTCACCACACTGGTCATTTCTGGTTCGCGTAGGGTGGAACATAGAGGAGGGAACATAGACATACAGTACAATGATATATTTGTATGCACTGCCCATTACTGCCCACCACATAGCCACAACCCTATTTCAAATTTAAAACTCATTTCTTTACCAGTTTTCTGTGTTTAGTGTGTTGTCCTTCCCCCGTACCTACGATTAGCATGGTTGGCTACGTATGGTGTGAAAGAAGTTTAACATACATACAACTTACATTTTTCGCAGTGGTCACCCATTGGAGAAAGTATCTGGGCATGTACATTATGAGACCTCCTTTGCCAGTAACAAGATATAGGAATAGGTTTTACCCTTTTAACTGGCACAAAAACTGACACCTTTATTCAAGGCATCATGTTTGCAATAACCACAACACAAGCAGTCAAAATGCAAACAAAAAGACAACTCTGATAATAATATGCACTGTTCTTGAATTTGATTGGTCCACACCCGAGACGGCTTTCTTTAGAGCCTAGTCGCCACTGGTGTTGGACCAGAAGACGCCAAAAGGCGTACAACTCAAGAACAGCACACTATCAGAGTATTGAGGGCTCGGGGTGAGCATTTACATTATGAGACCTCCTTTGCCAGTAACAAGATATAGGAATAGGTTTTACCCCTATATCTGGGCATGATCCGGTTTAGCTGCCGAGATCTGACGAGCTTGGGCGCGATTTTGTCATCTGCATATTGTACACTTAGGGGCCGTCCATAAATGACGTCACGCACCTGGGGGGGTTTGAGAAATGTGACGTCACATCAAAATGCGCAACTTTAAATAAATATAGACAACACGTTCTACTTAATTAAATAGACTTTTTAAATAAATGTTTTCTCCTACAACATCAGAGTGCAGTGGCACATTAAATACGCACTACAATGACAATAGTTTAAAGCGATTTGAAGCATGTTTTTTGGGGGGGGGGCAGAGCTTTGTGACGTCATATTTGAGGGGGGTCTGACTTTTTGTGACACCGTGTTACGATGTGGGGGGGGGGGTAAAAAAATCGGCCCCTTATTAAATAGTACGTACAGTGTATGAATGTGTGTGTGCTTGCGTGTGGTAGTGTAATGGTTAGCGGGCTGCACTATGAACCCGGCGACCCGAGTTCAATTCCTGCTCACGGCCAATATCAGTGGCGAGTATCTGAACCAGTCCCAAGGCCTCCTCTAGGTCGTCTCAGCCTTAACTGAGTACCTGGTGTGGTGTGTAAACATCAGCTTCTGGTAGACAGACATTGCCTGGTGTGGTCTCGGCCACCCACCCCCTTAATAGCACTTGCCCCAACAGACCGTTCAAGGCTAAACAGGGACCTTCGCCTTTGTTGTCATTGTGCCCGTGTGCACGCCGCACGCAGAGCATGTGTGGGCCACCCTCAAGGCTGGTGTGTGGGCACGACGGCGAATCATACGCGAGTGTGTGCACGGCCTACTCGGAGCGCGTGGCCGTCGACTATGCGGGCCCCTGCCAGGCGGTGGGGCTGCTGTCGCACCACGTCGCATCGCCCGAATGCGACGCTGTCGCCTGCCCGGCTCTCCCCGTCGCCAGCTGCAAGCCCATCACCCCGCCAGGTACGCGGGAAAAGTGGGCGCTCGCACTTTGGGCTGCCACCCCTTATAAGGTGCACAAAGCCAGGGCATATTTAAGGGAAGAAGCAGATATTTCACAATACAGCTGCAGGGGCAGAACTACGTGTAAATGTATATTCTTAGTTTTTTCGGTAAAGTCACGTGACTTTACCGAAAAAACTAAGAATATGAATTACTGCAGTCACGAAAGCTTTAAATCAAAATTTACGTGTAAATGTGTTGATTTGAGTGGTGATTTATTATGTATCTGACAAAAAACCGGGACTTTCAATGTCCCAGGAAAACTTATTGATTTCTCACAACAGTGGCCTTTAAAAAGAGGACATCTGGGAAAACCAGGACAAGTGGCAACCCTATTTGTCATCGAGTTGATTGCAACATTTTTCTCCTTGCTAATACTGGAAATTATACCAAGTCTAATGTTTGCATTATTCGTGAACATTGATGCTGCCAGAGGTTCGTTGACCAAGCGGGGCTGGATGGAAAAATGGAAGAGATATGTACTTGCCAGTGACACGTGCCGTACGATGTTTCCCACAGGGGCTTGCTGTCCAATATGTGCTGGGATGATGAGAATCCTTTGGAGTAAGGAGCAGGTTGACATATTGGCCAGAGTAAGTAACTTCATCATCGCAGATTCCCTCTTATGATAACGTTCTTCTCTTTGGTCTGTCTACCTTCCCATGTCATGTATCACCTTTCACACTTAAACATCTAAATCTACAGCCCCTTGTCAATTCACTTTTTGGATGAGGGCCTATTCATGCTATGTCAGTTGTAAGTGTTTTTTTTAACCATACTTCACCACACTGCTCATACACATATTGCAAGTTAGTGAAGTGTGGGGCCCTGGGCTGGTGCAGATATCACTCGCCACTGATGTTTGCCCTGGCTGGGAATTAAACTCAAGACACCGCGTTCATACCGCAGTGTGCGAACAACTATGCCACCTCTCCACCCCATTCGTACGTAACGCAGTTATTAAAGGCAATGCGTGCATCTCACGATTATGTTGGCGAGTATATATTCCGACATATGAAAACCCACTTCGATGAACTATCTCGTGTGGTCAGGACGCCTCTGAAAAAGAGCTAATAGCTCAATGGACTTTACCTGACCTCCTTTGCCAGTAACAAGATATAGGAATAGGTTTTACCCTTTTAACTGGCACAAAAACTGACACCTTTATTCAAGGCATCATGTTTGCAATAACCACAACACAAGCAGTCAAAATGCAAACAAAAAAGACAACTCTGATAATAATATGCACTGTCCTTGAATTTGATTGGTCCACACCCGAGACGGCTTTTCTTAGAGCCTAGTCTCCACTGGTGTTGGACCAGAAGACGCCAAAAGGCGTACAACTCAAAAACAGCGCACTATCAGAGTATTGAGGGCTCGGGGTGAGCATTTACATTATGAGACCTCCTTTGCCAGTAACAAGGTATAGGAATAGGTTTTACCCTTTTAACTGGCACAAAAACTGACACCTTTATTCAAGGCATCATGTTTGCAATAACCAAAACACAAGCAGTCAAATTCAAGGACAGTGCATATTATTATCAGAGTTGTCTTTTTTTGTTTGCATTTTGACTGCTTGTGTTGTGGTTATTGCAAACATGATGCCTTGAATAAAGGTGTCAGTTTTTGTGCCAGTTAAAAGGGTAAAACCTATTCCTATGGACTTTACCTGGTAAATATAATAGATTGGCAGAGACAAAAGTCTGGAGCAGAAGAACAATTCGAGAAGTGGATTTTGCAAAATCGCTCCTCATAGCATATCCTTCGAATGTGTGTATCTCTTTGTAATGTTTCGTACAATCTGTAGCTCATAATATATTTATTTAAAAGAGCATTGTTTTTCTTCACTTCAACCGGCAGCTGTTGTGTTTGGGCCTTTCTTTCGCATTTACAATTTTTGTAGACGGCCAACCGTGGCCCAATCACGGTGAGCGACATCGTGCACGGGCTGCGGCTTCACGTCTCCGTGCCGCAGTGTGACGTCTTCGGTTACCTGAGCATCGAGGCTGACATCATCATCCTGGTGCTTCCTGTTGACCTCAAGCCCACCGCTTTGCAGGTCAGATGCTCATGTTTTTAAACGTCGCCACGTTCTTTCCCCCCCGTTAAAAAACAAAGCATAGGGGCGGTGCTCACATCTATTGGTGGCACCTAAGCTTGTGGTGGGAATACAACACTTTTATGGTGGGCACAGTGTTCCTCTCTAAGGCAACCACTGCCGGTCTCCCACAAAGCAGCACTTATTTTATTGATCTCAGTGACAGGCTGAGTAAACCGCAGTTGTTGATTTTTAATTCACAACCTTCAAACCTTAACTACAGCACCACCTGGCTGGAATAATATGTGTACAATATAAGCACAGCATTTTCACTGCAAGCCTAGGCTAGAACTTGACAACATCCTACACGCAACTAGTTGGAGTGAGTCAGGCAGCTAATGAAAAACAAGAGTGTAGATGTAAAGAGGGAGATGGAGTGATTAAATCAGGGCCTACATCAAGAGTGGGTTCAATTGTGCTTGCACAGTACCACAGGAGAATGAATGTTTCAGCATGTAGACTTCATTTTACATTGGAAAGATGTTTTTTTAGGCTGTAACACTGTGATTATATAATAAAATGTAAACTATAGTATGCATATATATTTTTTCTTTCCAGATTGAAGCATGCAGCAAAGAGGCTGAGAAAATCGGAGTGCTCATCAACTCGGGCAGTCCAGTGCTGGTGTCTCATGTGCCCCTCTCGGCTCTCACCAACGCCCAGGTGTACGTGTCCACAGGTGGCGTGTCAGGCGTCTCCCCTCGTCCCACAGGCCCCAGCTTTGTTCTCCTCCTGGGTGTGCTCATGGTCACTTGTCACAGGGTGTTGTGCTTCTGAATTGGAAGCAGAATGATACGAAAAAATGTGTCATGCTGAGGACCATTTTTTTAAATGAACTTACCGAGGTCCTCAGGAACCACACCCATATCTTCTCTTTCCGAGGTTTAACTCTGCCGTGTACTAAGTAGTACGCAATATGGATGTGGCAACATGGATCCATTTCATTATGACACATATTGCTCACCAAGTCGATCACTTTCTAACATTTTCAAAGAGATAACAAAAGCGTTATAAATGTAGGCATATCGTGGCGATTATTAGTAATGCAACCATGCTTATCAGGAAGCACTGATGAATAGACATTGTAAATGGAGTGAGTAAATCCTGTTGTAATTGTTTCTTGCCAAAGGCTGTCAACAAGATAAGGATATTTTCTTATACGTGAATTGTGCCGAAGCATGGCCTCTCCGACAACAAACGTTACCCCCACGATACACCTTTTGTGATCAAGATGCAGTTCTACTTAGTTTTGAAGAGGTTATTTTATTTTGTAGCTGCACAGGACAATAATTGCATAGGATCTGGGATGTCTATAAACTTTTAAATCAAGCGTGGGAGTAATTGGGTATAAGTTTAACATCGGCCAGGCAATGTTATTACTGATATATCTGCCAAGCAAATGGTGATTTCCTTTATCAGCGAAAATAAGCTGCATGTCCTGTGGTTTGTCTATTCATATGCATTTCCTTTCTCCTATCTTACATTACATATTTACAATTCAACCTTAATGAAAATATTTGCAGTGTCTGATTATGGGATATCAAAAAATGCTAACCTAATTTGCACTTGTTGCTAAGAGGAGCTTCTTTTTGTGAAGAATGTGTGCCAAATCAAATTAAAACGAAACTTGGTGTGCATTGCACTTACTTTAGCAATTATCAAAGGATATAAATAAATCAAATTAGTATTTTACAAAAAATGTCCATCAAGAAAATGTTTCATTTATTATTTGACACATTTTTATATTTTGTGTTTTCACATTATTTTCTTCAATCGGCCATTATTTACTTTGATAGGGAGAATGGTGTCACAGCGTTTTACAGATGGTTTTGTTTAATACAGATGGCACCTTATGCTTGATTCTGTAAAGTTGGTTAAACCAAGTGGATGTCCTTCAAGTTTGTACTTCAAAAATTCTCAAGATGTCTTTTTTTAAAACTTTATTTATATGATGCAATAACTTGCATATGAAAACACAAACACGATGTTTCTGATGACTGGATGCAGTGTACAATAATTAATTCTTTATTTTTTTTGTAACGGTTTAAAATATTTTAGATACCAAAAAAACCCCATATAATATATGTAGGGTTATATGCTTATACGTCTATACAAATGTATATTTGACATTTTATTAAACATTGTAGTATTTTAAGTCTCGTGCTATGCATAACAAGAGACAGTGAAGGAAATTACGGTGTGTTAATGAAGGGTATCGTGCATGACAGGGCTATTCCAAGTAATACGACGAACAGTGGAGATTCAGCCATACAGCGATTCAGACTGGCGATGCTGCTCTCACAAGCAAATGACACTGACGGAAGTTCCACGAAACATGTAAACAAAACTAAAAAGATGTTAGCCCTTGTGTGGCGTACACACGACAGACAGCACAGTGATGGCTGCACAGTGTCGGTTTTCCAAAGTACAACATTTAAAATTACGAATGTTGAATGTCTCCTAAAGTCACGTTGGTGATAAAACGTGCTTATATGTATGGTTGTCGACAGTAAACCCTGCTGGTGTGATAGTTTATATATATGGTCTCAGGTAGCTGTGTGGCAATTGGTGCTGTTCTGCACCAATTGAACAGTGAATGACACTTATCTGTAAATGTCACCATGAAGGCGAGCACCTGAAATGCATAGGATAGGCGGTGCGTGACAATCAGTGTGTAGGTCAGTAGACTGTTAAACCCCAGTTTTTTGCCCAGCAAACTTATTTTACAGCATACTTAGTAGATTTGGACACACTGTTCACCTGCCAATGTGCTATAATTGAATGTTGCGCTTTAAACAATCATAGCGAGGTGTGTTGGTTTAATTTTCCGGTAAGCGGAGATGCACCGAGCGTGTATTGAAGTAATACATGGTACAGGGCTGTCGTACAATTAAGGCGCCACTTTAATGCCCCTTGTCGAATGCTGATTTATTTTTATATAGTTGTGCACATTACATATGTACATCATATATGCAGCGGGCATATGTGTGGACAAATTTGGGACAATCATCTTCAAAATTGCACGTGTGTAATGGCACCTTTCACCATGATGTTGATTGAGATGACAATGCAGTCCGTATTCCCGATGTGCTTTCGAGTTGTACCACGTGTTGTTCAGCATGATGTCTGATGTTTCGCTCGACATTGGCGGTTTCTGATGATTAGGACCTGATCCCGACCAACACGCAGTGCCACACATCAGAGAGCTGTATAGCGCATTTGCAAAAGCTACGCAGTAGCATTGCAGGACGTTGTTTAATGCACCTCATGGCAAACAAGGCGAACCGGAGAGAGAGCAGTTCTGTGCGATCGTAGCATATAAACATTGCATGTCTTTTAACAAGGTCCACCACGCTGCCGGCTTGGTGAGCATTCACCAGTTTCCTTGTCAATGTAAATATTGCGAACTGGAGACGACTTCATGGCCTGTGTAATGAATTAATGTTATCTGTCTAATACAGATAAAGCCCCATTTTCCTTGGCGCCGTCGTTGAAGTAATGCATTCTGGGAAAAAAAAAAACATGAAGCAAATTCATTTTTCGTTGATCAAACAAAACCAGTTTTCACATCTTGGGGAGAAACGGCCGGATTTCATCACCTTGGCGACTTCCCCCTTTGGTTAGTAACGGAGACATTGGCAGTATTATTTCAAAAGCTGTATACTTTCAGGATGCTGTATTTTTCAAAGCAGCACTTTAAGCAAAAATATATACAACAGCTAAATCTGCTATCTCAATTTACAGTTATAATAGGGTCTACAATAGCGAAAATAAACCTCCATTTGTCTCTCCACATAAAATAAATGTATTTTTTTACTAACGCTTTGCTTATTCAAATATTTATTTTCAAATACTTATTTGAACAAGCACACTGCAGCTCACATCTATTAAATTACTTTCAAATCTTTATACATGGTCTTGTATAATAACTAACACTAGCCCTTAACGTGCGTTTGAAGTGGTGTTGGTGCAAAAGAACAAAGCTTATGAAATGCCATTTGTAGAAAAAATGTTGGTTGACCTCGTCACAATAAATAGCGGTCGTTTCTATAGATGTCTACGAAGCAGAATGTATATCAGCCAAGACAAACACTTTTTTTTAAGCCGGGTTCTCTATTTTCGGCTCACGGCGCCAAATTGGCATCCGTTGTTTCAGCGCATTAAGCCCAGCAATGTGGAACATGGGGCATGTGAAGTGCGTGTCCTCTTAAACACAGTATTAATGACTTGTCAGGGACTTCGCGTGTCTACCTGTAGTTCTGTATGCCTTGTTTTGTTTGCGTTCTCTTCACTGTGTTTATGTGTTCGATGCATTGTTTTATTTTTGTCATGCTTATATATTTTGTCAAAACAGAATGTGTTATTTTCACTATAAAGCGCAGATGTTTTAAATGCTGTTGTATAAGCGCTATACACAATAAGCCCGCGCCGGTTAAGTGTGCCAATATATTTAAATAAAATGATAGTTGTATTGTTTCACATTAATAATACAACTTTGCACAATAAAATACAAACATATTGCTGGGTTGATGTCTCGTACCTATAATTATTTCACAGGATATTACCAACGTGGTCTTGCAAAGACTCGTGTCTTTGTACTCTTCTCACACATATTTGCAACAAATTCAATTTATGAATATTGGCATCTTTGTCTGGAAAACAGGTTGATACAAGGCTCAATTGCTCGTTCCATGCCTATGACACTGGTCTTCAGAAGCCACATTTTTGATGAGAAAAGCGTTTGTATGGTAGATATGGGGTAATCATACTGATATGCATACAGAGATAAAAAATATCATCATGGTAATGTATACTAAATTATAATCATGTACATGTTTTTAAAATAGTGTACACTCCTTTGTCAAGTCTGGTGGTGGATGGACGCCTCCCCACATCCTGTTGGTTGTGGTGGTTGTTTGACCATACTTCACTACTCTGGTCAGTGCGAGTTGGCGAAAGGGGAGGAAGTGGTATGCCAGGATCTATCATTATTCACTGACGTTATCTGACGTCAGGAATCCAACTCAATTCCCCCGTTTTACCGCAATGTACAACCCACTACGTCATAACTATATAACTCCTAAAGGGAGCATACGAAGTGGCAATTCAGAATAAGAATCTGCAGTTATCCGATGAGCTATGAAGCTCTTTTTCACACAAGTCCAGTAGGTGACAACTCATTGTGGCAAGCAAGTAAAACAATGAATTGCACGATGATCTTCAAGTTAAATTCACATTTTAAGTTTCAACATTTTGATCGGACCTGAAATAATAAAAACAAAGAACTTGACCGCATTTGCTTGTGAAATGACATAAGCCACGTGACATCTTCACGTTTTCTCTGAAGTGCAACCCCGTTCTCCATGCGTATAAAACAAGACACATTTATTTAGATACTTTCCTCTACAAATTGCATTCATGTATGAAGTATTATGTAATTTTGTGTTGAACTCGGACGCTGGCAGTTCATCGTTTTGATTTCAGAAAGCCTGACTGCTGATGAGACACTGTGTTGTCAAAACCGCTCCAGAGTTTGCTTGCGCTGAATCAAGTGCTGCTGAAATTATGCACTCCCAGAAGGTCGTGGAGACGAATAGGTTGTGTAAAAAAATATACGTTTATGTTTTATGTGAAGGGATGGATATGTGAAGAAGATATATTGTCTGCTTATCTATTATGTTACATGATAATCTCCACAACGATGCTGTTTATTGTGTTATTTAAGCAAGTAGACTGCAGATTTCAAACCCTTTTGGCGCATACTAATTACCAAAGATTATCATAACCCTTCATATATTAAGGATTTCTATTTTTTATTTTGACACAGTGTTTGCTTTGAAAATCGGTATGCCGTAAAAGGGTTTATACATCATCAGCCAATCGCTTGGGTCGGCAAGTCTGGTCGTGTGATTAAGCACAAAAAAAATACCACAATAAGGATCCCCCAAAACAAACAGCGGCTGGTGTGTCTGACCAGGACGCACTTTGTGTGTATCAGGTTAATATATCTCTGTGAGTCCACTGCTGGATGAAGGACTCCCTCACGGTGTCGGTCATGGGAGTTGTTGAGCATATTTCACCACGCTGGTGAGTGCCGAGTTAATTTTACGTGCCATAAATTGTCAGGACGTGGACATCGTTGTGTTCCCCCTCGTGCAGGAGTTATTTTAAATCCTGCTTTCATGATTATTCTTCTAAGTATAAAATGAGAATATCCTATACCCTATTGTGTGTGAGTCATCGGCAACAGTCATCGTGATATTTTTCTATATAAAGTAGAGATTACTCGTCTTGTATCATGTCCTCTGGTTAAATAAAGATAACCCACGATATGACTGGTTACAGAACACCAAAAAAAGAGTGGCTTGTGCGTGAAATGTCCGTAAAATTTAAAGCAGAAACAAATACAATTTACATTCAAAAAGATAATGAAGGTAGCCCAATCACTACCGTGCGCAGAAAATAGATTGGTCACGTTTAACACAGTATGTGCGTTTAGCAGATGTGCTTGCAGCAATGCATTACTGCACTGCATGTGAACTTGCGGCATAATGTATCGCGTGCATTAATGAATAATCCGATTACTCTGATAAGCCAATTTGTACAACTCATTCCTTATACGCAATCGTGGAAGACTATGGTCAACAACAATACAAATTTTGATTTAAAGCTTTCGTGACTGCAGGGATTCATATTCTTGGTTCTTTCGGTAAAGTCACGTAGAAGGGAAACAATAAAATAATAAAAATATGAAACAAAATTCTCACGACGTTTCGACTGCAACACAAGCAATCACACACCTGATGATGATTGCTTGTGTTGCAGTCGAAACGTCGTGAGAATTTTATTGTTTTATATTTTTATTATTTTATTGTTTCCCTTCTACGTGACTTTACCGAAAGAACCAAGAATAACAATACAAATATGAACGTCTTAAAAGAAAATAAATACTATTTGAGTCCACCCGTCTGTCGCCCATGTGGAAGAAAGTTAAGCAGGATTTTTAGAAGAGGTAAACTCCGCGAACCGGTTTCGCCTTTCAGAGACTCATCAGCAGGACTCATCAGCACGGAAACGTTAATTGTAGGAGGCGAATGCCTGGCTGTCCCCAGCCCGTCACAAGATAGGAGTGCATGTTGTCGTGTAGATATGTATATTGAACTTCTTTCGTGCCGTGCGTAGTCAACCGTGCCAATCGGTGTTGCGGGGCAAGGACAACAAACTGAACACAAAAAAGCAGTTCAAAAGAAATGAGTTTTCAATCCAGGATGAGGAAAATGCAGTATTTTCTTGTCCGCGCGTCCGTCTCGGGACCAACGTGGCCGCGAAGAGAGCCCGAGAGAGGAAGATGCCCCCCGCCTGCGTAACGCGAGCCGAACGAACAAAGCGCGCACAGCGGCGGCCAGCATTGCGCGTCGGGCTCGGCGTGACGCAGACGAGGCGTGAGGTTCTCTCCTCCAGCTCGGGTCAACTCAACCGCGGGTCACCTCACTCATCCGTACATCCCCCTCCGTGTGAGGGAGCCTCTCGTGTTCCACGCTTCTCACCTTCCACCCGGCGCCTCACCCCCCCCTCCCATGCCCGAGATCAATGATGAAGTATTTACACATATATAAGTAGCGGAAAAACTCAAGATCTTCGTATTTCCTTGTGCCTATGACTGACTGATTCTTTCTCCAAGAATTCGTTTTATCGAGCGAATGCTTTTACACTTGACTTTCACACAGAGCACCAGATACACACCAATAATTGTTTATCACTATATCTGTACAGCGGTCCTGAGATGTCTCATTTTGACGCTATATAAATCCACATTTCATATGTGTAGGTCTGCTGCTTTTGTTGTATGGTATAGTAAACCCACCCACAGCCTGAGTTCTACATAAAGATGTGAAAGCCAGTTTGTGGCATTGAATCTTGGAAAACAAATTGTGTTTCTGCTAAACTAATAAACGAATATGTGAGATTATGAGTACCTTTAAACTGCTCAAAGTCACTAAAGGTACACTTAAAAGTGTAAACGAATTGAGCACTTGCGTTCGCCCACTCTGCACTGCGAATTATTATTATTTCTAGTGTAATGGTAAATATCAGTGCGTGCGCACTGACTTGGTTCACGAATTGATCTATGATACTGTCATGGTTATGATTATGACATGCAGGTGCTATGATTTTCTGTTGCAGCTAATAATGCAGCTGTGAAGATACCAGCAAACGTCTTACCCACCTGAGTGCGAGAACCGGCTAGTGAGCCACCCGAGAGAGGAAGGAAAAGCCCCAACGCGCCCGAAGAACTCACCCATTCACTCCTCAAATCTAAAACTTAGAACCCCTACACTCTCTCCGATGTGTTTTTTCGTGTTGTTCTTTTGTTCAGAATAATTTCCTACGTTTCCGCCTCACATTTTTCGAGAGCTTCAATTGCTGGAAGAAGCATTTGAAGTGAAGGCGTGGAGCGAAAACACGTGGAGCGAAACGACGGACACCATGCCCGAACAATATGCTGTAAACCCCGAATAATACAAAGGAGAGCAGCTAGCTCTACAGCACAACCGAGACATAAAAGTACGCCGTTGCAATTATCGTAGATATACATAGCTAACATCGTTTCTGTAGATCTGTCGGTGATAGAACGATGCCGGCTGGATGTAAGAGCGAGGAAGTCTCCTGGGCTTAGTGTGTAACCTACATTGGCCGCCCAGGTGATGAACGCGAATGACCAAATGGAAGTTCGGGGTTCTGGTCAAATAGCGGAGGGCGGAGCGATGCTCTGGCTGCTTCCGGCAGCGGTGACGCCTCCCCTAAGCCAGGTCGCACATGCACGTCAAGACGACGCACGTGTACCTGCGCCAACCGCACAAAGCCACCTCCACTAACGCCGCCACCCCCCCCCCCCACTGCTGACTTTAATAATGAATGCATAGGTTCATGACGCGCAGCTGTGATATGACAGTGGTTAGCGCAGCTGTGCTAGAAACCTCGCGGTCCCTTGGGTTATATTCAAGGCTGGGGCGAAGATCGGTGACAAGGGGAAAACCGGTGGACCCGGATAAATATCCACGCAACCACGGGGAGAACATGTTAACTCGAAATATACAGGCGTCAGGTTCTCGGGATCGAACCCATGATCCTATATACCAGGCGAGAGAGTAAACATCTCGCCACCGTGGCGCCCGCATGGTGACTAGATATGGCCTCTCCTGTCATGGAGCTATAGAACAACATTACCTATGCGTAAGTTATCACCTTCATAAGTGACCACCACCATCATCGCACATGATCAATCCACTGCTGGGCGAAGCGCCTCCACAAGGCCGTCACCGGCTCTCCCGGTCGTGCGATGTATAGCGGTCCACATCTAAAGCGTCATACGCAGGAACTGAATTCGTCGCTCCATCTCCTGCGGTGGACTTCCTCTCAGGGCGCGTTCCACTCGTTTGGCTGCAGCTCCGACGTTAGTCTTGGCCATCGACCATCATCCGTACGCGGCTTAATGGAATAGTAATAGAAAAAAATAGATATCAAG